CGGGCTAGAATGAACTGCGCTTTGGTCTTCGATCTTCTGGCTTTCATGGCTTTCTTTGGGGCCACCAGAGAGCAGGTCAGGGATCGTGTACGAGATGCCGTTCACACGAGCAAACTCCTCGTCGCTGTTGATTAGCTCTTCGTCACCGTGTCGATCTTTCTTGGCGCGGCGTTGTTCTGTGGTTTCGTCGTTTGGTGTAGAACCCCTACTCGAGATACTAGGCGTTGGAGTGTTCTTTCCTAGTAGCGCATCCACCGTATAGGTCATCCCTTTTACTTGCTCAATGTCATTTCCCTCAATTTTCCCGAACTGTAAGACCCGCCCGTCCGAGGGCGATAGCAGCGCATTGGGGTCTGGATCTAATGGCCGTGCGCCGGGCTTTAGAGTCCGGTAGAAAAAGGCCGCTAGGTTAGGGTACACATGAAGGTCGGGTTCTGACACCTCATCTAGGTTCACTCCAAAGATGAAGGCATACAGTTTAAAGCCGGACACACGCAAGTAATATGGAATGGTGAGCTCGTTGAATTTGCCCCACAGCCTCGACATGGCCTTGAGGGGTAGAGCGGACATAACTTGGACTTGCCTGCACAGAATTGGGTGTAAGTTAAAAAGACCAATGAGCTATAGATTTGTCCGGTTTACCATGGTCCATCTGGGCGCACTTTGGGCCGTTTTTTGGGGCGTGCCTCCTCTTCAAACTCCTCCTTCTCTCGCCTGTCTTTTTCCCGCGCCTGTGTCTTATAAAACTGTACTAATCCCAGAAAACCTACACCCAACCCTATAGGTATGGGATACCACTTGATCTTACTGTCGTTAAGGGCATGTCGGAGTCTAGAGCCGAAGCGATCTCGATTCTGGAATATGTGCCTTGAATGGTGGAACGAAGCCCTAGGGGTCACCGTAAATTGCCAGAATGACGGGCGGGCATTGGCTATTTTTGGTTGGCGATAAAGGCACTGTGGCTCGAAACTAGACGGCAGGCGGACTCGTCCTCGAATGAAAATCGACGATGGAGTAGCCATTGTCAAGGTTCTAGAAACTAAGGGTCCTTCAGAAGAAAGCCACCACGGGATGAATGGAGGACTTGTATGAGATTCGAGTCACCTCGTCACATTAGGACATTGATCTAGACATGCAGGTTCTAGATGTGGCGAAATCGAAAAAGAAGACATAGAAATGGGCGACGGAAACTATGCGTATAAAATTGCAAAATACCAGAAAACTACGAAGGATTGGGCCAGGACGTAGGTACCACACAAAGCTTAACACTTCCCATGACGCAGGTTAGTGCAGCTTTCCCTTGCTGCTGAGCCAGTAGATAAACTAGCTCCCCCAGTCGGGATTGGGCGGTGTAAGTGGGCAGACGGCAGAAGGTTGAGAAGGACAAGACCCTTGAAGCAACGTGGATTTTACTGTCTCTCTGGGACACGCTAAGCTAAATTTGGCATAATAAGTGCCTACATACGTACGTAGGTACCTACGTACCTAGACTAGGTAGGTCCTATATATACCTACATATGTCATGAGGTACCTACATAAGATAGGTAGGCGCATGTACGTAGAGATGTACCTGTACGTACTGTACAATGCAGTAGGTACCTACCTCCTACCTCCTACCTACCTGCCTACCTAAAGTAAGGCAGGTAGGTATGTTGAGGACAGCGAGGCACGGCTTATCAACCGCAATTCCTCAAACCAAACAAGCATCGATTGCTGTGAAACGGAACCTTAGGTAACAGCAGTCACTGTTTCTCTCTCTTTCTTGTTCCCCAGTCTGACTCCCATTTTTCTCGCTGTTCCCGTTTATGATCCAGAGCCCACCGATAGTCAACCCCTCCATGAACCTAGGCACTTATACCCAAAACCTGACGTGCTTGCTCCCTTTGGAATTACAACCCAGGAGTCATTTTGCCTGACATGCTCGTTACGACGCCTGGTTCCCTTAACTCGTGGTGACTGCTACGGGCTTGAATCTTGGAGTTCGATCAGCAACAATTTCAACTCGTGATCATTACAAAGGTATTCCAGCTTCCGCGCCGCAACATGTCTGATCCGACGTCCTCGGCTTCTACGGCCCCAGAGGCCAGGCGGTTCACACTACAGGTCTTATCACCCTCTATCAACGTCCCTCAGCCTCTTTTCCTGACCCTCCCCATTACGATGACGGTGCGGCAGTTGAAGGAGCGGATACGAAGCTGTGTGTCTACGAAACCGCCGGATGACGCCCAGCGGCTCATTCACAGAGGGCGGCTGTTGGCGCGTGATTCCGAAACTATGGTCGAATTGTTTGGCGAAGAACTGGTAAGTTAGGCACCACCTGTGCTTTGCAAAAGAGATGTATAATAACCCATTCATCGTCTAGCTTCGATCTACAGAGCGTCAAACTCTCCATCTTGTCTTACGCGATCTCTCCGAAGCGCAGACACCGACCCCTCCACCCGCTTCCAATCCACATCCAAGTTCCCACTCCCAGACTCAAGGGCATCAACCTCCCCAGCAGCCGCACGCTCAGCCCTACATTAGGATGAGCCAGCATCCTAACATCGCCTTTGGCTTCCCTCAGGGTGCCGCAAACGGTACTCAGCTGCCACCCGGTATGACACAGCAGCAACTCTGGCAAAATCAGCTTCAAACAATGGCCCGCTTAGGGCTTGCAAATCAGAACCAGAATCACGGGCTTAACTCGATGGGTCATCATAGTATGCAGAACCGGGGAGGTCCAGGATCCACGACACCAGGCAGAGCAGGGTCGCCATTTCAGCCGGAAACTACCCGTACTCTAGTCCGTGAAGGAATTGGCCCGGATGGACAGCGGTGGCGGTTTACTGTCAATGAGTCTATCGTCACGTCAACACATAGACCGGGGAGAAGTGGCTCCCCCCTTTCCTCAGCTGAAGTCCCTACCCCTATACTCCCACAGACACGGTCACTACCTGGTGCAGGATCGATGGGAGGCTATGACGCTCAAAATATTTTCCGTACATCAGACGCAGGGTCTGCGACGCGTGCTATGGCTGATGCTATGCGGAGAAATACTAGCAGCTCTTCACTAGCGAATTTAGCAAGTTTTCAGGGCCAGCAGCCGATTCCGCCTGGGGTCACAACGCCGCTGATTCCATCACGCACTGGAAGCACAGCCGGTACTCCCGATCCCCTACGCGCCAGTGGGCGTTTCATCAATGGCTCCGCCGGAACTCAGGCAAACCAAGCGCTCTCGACAACCCCTGAAGTGTATATTCTCTCTTCTCCAACCGGTCCTCGTGCCATCTTGTTTGGTGGTAACTCAGGAACATATTACAGTCCTCAACTCCGTAGCTATCAGCCTATGGGTCTTCCTCTTCCATCCCCGTCATTCGGTGCAACTTCAGGAAGTGCCCTGCATACGCGACACGAAACTCGGCCGCACACTATTCCTCTGTCGTCCATGGCTAGTGGGAACATGCCGAACCCTCATATTAACAACCCACCGCCGGGCCAGCCACCTCAGCTACAGCCTCAACATAACTTACAAGCCCCGGGCCCCATGCAACCTCAAATTGGTCATAGAATGGATAACCCGCAAGTTCAAGCCATTGGACTAGCCCAAGTATGGCCTCATATATGGATGATTATTCGCCTAGCATTGTTTATTTGGTGGTTTACTTCCCCTACATCTAGTTGGTCTCGATGGATTACGGTAGTTTCGATTGCCATTACCTTGTTTATTGTAAACACTGGTGCTTTGAATCCCGTCGCTGAGCAAATATGGGTTCCCCTGCGCCGCCACCTGGAAAACCTAATACCTCTTGCCGCGGACGCAGAAGGTCGCCAGCAGCCGCGTCATGTTGCCGAAAACGCCCAAGGCGGAGGCAGAGATGGAGTGGATCCCGCGCCCAGAGATCCAGACCCAGCCAATGCAGCAGCCAGGTTGGTCCAACAGCGCCGTCAAGATAATGCCAACTGGCTGTTGAACCAAGTGAGACGGCTAGAGCGCGCTGGCATTCTCTTTATCGCTAGTCTCGCCCCCGGCCTAGCTGAAAGACACATCGCCCAGGTAGAGGCAGAAGCTCGAGCAGAGAGACAAAGACAGGAAGAGGCTGAAGCAGCTGCCACTACTGCCGCTCAAGCAGCAGCAGCAGAACATGCTACTGATAATCCTACTACTGTTAGCCCAGCTCGCGAGTCTCTTTCGGATGGCGATCCCCCAGCTTATGAGGCAGAACCATCCATAACACAAGCCGTCAAACCGCAGACCCTCCCACCCAATGACTCCAGCACTACATGAAAAGTGCCAACTTGCAGATTTTTGAAGAAAATGTGAAGTCAAGACAAGACATACGATTTATGCTATGACACTTTCAGGGGACTCGGAAGCGGGAACTCTGGTTCGTCGGAAGCACGGAATGATAAGCAAAACACAATAGAAGTGATGTGTAGTCTTCTGATGACAAATTTCCTTGGCATGGCTTGGGGACATAGGATTATAGCCTGCCAAGCTTGCGAGTACAATTGGCGGTACGAGCGGGTAATTTGCTATATGCGCCAATTCTTGTGAAGAGTATGAGATATAACATCATACCATTGCAAATGAGAAGTGGATGGATAATGACCAACGTCATTCTATTGAACTACGAGTTGAGGTAATTGAGTGCTGCATAACAAATGTAAATATTGCTTTATAATAATAGTTCGACACTCAGTTATCCTAACGAGCAAAGTTGACCATCCTCCTTTAATTAGTAATGATCTCGTCCCAACGTGCACTTCGACAATACTAGAAATTCGAGTCGCTACATTGGAAGACCCTATATCAGACTTCTTAATGAGCAAAATCTCTCTTCTATATATATTATCAAAAGCCTAGCTACAAGTGGCCCGCGGTTATTATGTCTGTACTTGTATAAGCCCTTGATATCAGCTAAAGTCCACCAGAAACATAGCACTAGCAGTACGGATTAAGCCAAAAAGAAAGCAAGAAAAAAGCCAGATATTGTGTACCACGGTTACGACATTGAAAAGAATGACTGGACCAGGAATCGAACCTGGGTCTATTCGGTGTTTGTTCGGTGGGTGTTCACACCGTCGGGCCACAACGAATTGTACTCACCACTATACTATCCAATCGCGCGTTGGTTTCCATGTGGATGCAATCGCGGCGAAGCTAGGTACATATGCGAAACCTAATTGGATACGGCAGTGGAAAGGGCGGCACAATTCGATTGATGTTGTACTCTGCTAGTCTCAGCCTTTTGATTACGTAGGGGCCAGATTGTAGCGGAAGGGATACGAAGGTAGCAACAACAGACTTACATGTGTGCATACAAAGGCGTATACATACACGTACAAACGATAGCGTGTTTCACGATCCCTGTAAACAGTTACTCAAGCCTTATCTAGGTACCTAGATAACATGGATGTATCTTATGTATGGATATCACGGCACCGTTAGCTAATAAGTCTTTGGTGTTACGGTTTGATATGGCGGATTTTGGCACAACTCAAGTTAGGTAAAGTTGTGGCTATTCCTTCCGCGCAGAATGGGTTCGTATTCAGTCACTGAAGCTACGGAGAGCGAGGCTTATGGGACTGACAGATATACTTAGCATCCCAAAGACGACACCATCATCTTAATTACCTAGGCAGTACGTACATCCTACCGCAGCCCTACGTACCGTATCATGTGCTGCACTTTATAAGCCAAAAATGATTTAACTTGCATATGCGTACCTAATTCAGTTCCGGCACTTCGGATTGTGTACCTAGTGCAAATCGTATTATAAGCATCAACCTAAAATTACTATACTTAGACCACTGCTGCAATGCGCACCTGCATACCGTAGTATTGGCGCTTACTTACCTCGGTAGGTACCGTTTCTTTGATTCTCATCGGAAACCCGTATCGGCACCGAACCAATCGAAGAACCGGATTACGAATATCCGAAGACCGCAGTCAAGACATACTGTAGTCCCTATGTTTGTTAGTTCAATCTACCGAACAATACAAGAGCCAACTGAAATGCTATAATTTTTTTTCAGCGCATCGCAGACAAACAACAAAATTTTATTTATAACAAGCTAACCTGGCTAGCAGGTACTCTAGGTACGTAGTGATTTTAACTCGGCTTAACTGCATGTTCTCCTAGGTGGCTAATTAAAAGAAAGCTGCATTGGTACCTAGTCAAAATTCGAGAAACCCCCTGTCATTACATAATGAACTCTCCCTTTCTTAACGACGTCTAAGAAGCATACGAGTAGTAACATATTGACTCTAGACCCTTGAGCCTTTCTTCGTAAATCGACCTTTGTTAGGTATGTCGTTTAGTCAAATATAAAGAATAGGGCAGGTACTCACAGTGGTACTCGATCTTATTATTATCTTTTCAACAGCCGCTTTAAATATAGTCCTCGTAGCTAGCTCTAATCTACCATTATTTTTAAGTCGGGTCCCTAATGTACGCGGTATAGCGTAGCAATTCGGGGCCTACTTCAGCACAGGGTGTGTAAGTTCATATACGCAGTAAGGTAAGCTACCTCGATAGACTGCCGAGATAATAGGTAGATACATTCTGTGTATTTCGAACAGGGCCCTTCGCTTTAATTAGGTACCCAGGTACTGATATGATATGCACAAGAGACAAGTGGATCTAGTGACGCCTTATGAATGACGCGATGCTCCTCCCACCGCTGCCTGCCTGGGATGATATATTCACTACCTTGGAGTCTTGGGCACACTTACGTATACCCGCCACAAACTGTAGGGACTATACTCTGTAGTGTATCGGTATTCTTGATGTCTGCCGATTATGTGAAATATCTGATATATGTGTTACGCTGAACCGCTGGGCATTTAAGTACAGACCTGTATAGGTATGTAATATCGTACACTTTAACGAGGTACCTAGGTACTAGGTATGTGTAGGTACATTAGCGCGAGGGGAGGGGGGGGGGTATAGGAGACTGTCACCAACGTTGAAAATGGTCATACAAGTATGATTATCACTTGAAAATCATATATATGGGCCGTTTTTTAATAGAAATGGTCACCGAGTAAAAAAATAATATCCAAATTAACCGGTCTCAAAGTTGTAACAGCGTCACAGGTACAAAATGGTCATTTAGTTAAAAAATAATGTCTAAATACAGCCAGTCTTGAAGTCGTATAATTGTCACAGGTTTAAAATGGTCATATAAAAATAAGACAGTCACCAAAAAACAAAACGGTCACTGAGACGGTCACCAAGACAGTCACCAAATAATAAGACGGTCACCGGCAGGTAAGCAAGTAAGTCGGTCGGTTGGTTGGTCGGTTAGTTGGTTGGTCGGTTGGTTGTAAGTAAAGTGGGGTGTAAAAAAACCAAAAGAAAAGTCCTGTTACCCGGTCGCTTCAATTACTAGGTTTGATTTATGTATAGAGATCTAGTCACATTATGCTACGGTTAAGTTGTTACGGTCGGGTTCGAACTACAAGTCTACGGTCTACGGTTACAAAGTATTACAATTACACTACATTACAAGTTTTACGATATACGCGGCAGTTACAGTAATAGTAATTATAAGGCAGGTAAATAGGTCAAAAGGTAGGTACGCCGACAGGTACGTCGGCGACAGGCAGGTACGCAGGCAGGTAGGTAGGTGACTGTCCTAGACAGCTGTGACCGTCCTAGACCGACGTGACCGTCTTAGGCACTTGTGACTGTTTCACGCAGAAAAAGGTCATATAACAGGCCGTGACGGTCATAATGTCAAAAGGTACTTTTTATATATAATGATTTTTTGCAAATAAGAGGTTTCGAATACGTGACTATTACGGTGATTATGTTGAAAAAATAAAAATCATTTTGTAACCTGTATGACAGTCCTAGAAGTGGTGACAATCTCGGTGATCGTCTCCTATAGGGGGGGGGGGGCGGCCGCCCCGCCGGGCGG